CCAGAGCGCACATTTGCTCGACTTTATTTTGTGAAATTACATTTCGTAAAACGTATCAAATATATATTATTTGTATTATAATCAATTATACAGAACACAATATTAATATAAAACACGTAAATGATTTGTAACTTATGTACTGTATGAAAAACAAGAATCCTTTATGTGTTTAATATGCATTGTTAGGCTGCGAGCGAGGGTCACCAAAAGCGCACGTGGATTCTCAGGACTTCGACGCAGTCGCACCGCACGGCCCGGCAAAGAAGGCACGTGGGGCAACATCCGCACGCAGGCACGCAGGCACGCACACCTCCACATCCACACCACGAGGACAACACGAGCTCACAAAACACGGGACGGCAACATTTGCACAAACAGCTCTTTCCGTATCACGCTGTTTGATTTATACCAAGTCTCCATGAGCCACACGAACTCGAGTTTGAACTCGAAATTGTCATCCGCCGCCAACCCCTTCCCATATTTTTGCGCCAACTCGAGTGGCCCACGGTGGTTAGGGCTGCGGCTTGGGATTCTCTGGGACGGATTTGGCGTTGTTACAATAAGAAAACATCGCAGGTGGCGGGGAAATTTTGACGTTACATTAAAATGTTGTCTTCACCGTGCTCGACTTGTGCGTGTGTCAGGATGGAATTGTATGCGTTTTCTTTTTCTGGAAAAGATTGGCCCAACTCCACGCAATAACTCAAGTAACTCGGCAGACCATGGGCGATTCCTATATTTTAGCCGACCAGAGTTGTCCTTCAACACAACTGGAGTTCTGGAAGAAATTAGGCTAACTCTCATGGAAACAAGGTATTAGAAATTAGTTGGCCAGGTACTGTTAGTGATTATCTTTTAAGGGTCAGCGGCATGAACCGCTCCGCTACCTTTTCCCATTGCCAATGAGTTGGCCACACCATTACGCCTGGCACAAATGTTTAGGCGAAATGAACCACATACCCAAGGACGCACACGGCAGGATCGGACCACCAGCCACAGCGCACGTGCATCGCAGTCAGGAATCGAGACCGGATCACCAGGATCGTAGCGCAGTGCGCTAACCACCACAAAAGAAATACTACGCTGTTGCTTGTACATGTGGTTAAGTCTTTTGTGACTAGACTTCTTGGCAAGAATAAACCAGGGCCCGTGTGAGTTTTAGTGTTGCACACACACACACAATACAAAAAAAATCGTTACATCTCTCATTTGGATATAAAACATAAATCGCATTAAATAACAGACATCAGTCAATGAAAATACAATTCGCAGGCTCTCAAAACAAGTTTCAACAGTTCCCGAGGACCCAGTTGCTTTTTTTCCGACCAAAGCTTAAGAAAGACTTCACATTGTAAACATACGCAGTATATGGTACGATGAAGTGCTATATAGATTAAAGTATGACATCGGGTTAGTTATTCATGTACATGCAGTTTCATAAACAACAAAAAAAACCTGCAGCCGCACGCGCGAGCTCGAGTTTTCTTTTAATATAAAATAAACCTTCACTTCATCGTTGTAAGTCTGGGCCGTGTGTGTCATGGGGGTGGGGGGAGGGGGTCTCATTCGACTCGGGGGAGGGCACAGAGGGCCTCACTCACTGTCGTCATCAGCGGTTGCGGAGAAGCATGGTTCATTCCGCGAGCGTGGTTTTTTTACACGCTTTTTATTTACTCATTCCGTCTGTTGTTGTTGTTGTCATTGCTGTCGTTGTAGCCTCAAATCTTGTAACTCAATTTATACCCACTTTCCAATGTGGTATCGACTGCAGACTTGGTATACTTGTGTCATACTGATGACAATACTATATTCTATCATAAAAAAACATATTTCATAACATTATTTTTTATAAGTTATGTTTCAATTTGGTTCTAATTGTGCACGGTCAACTCACGTTGACTATAATTGGCCAAGGCCCCTTACGTTGTGGCAAGCTTCGGGGCCACTTCCTGGAGTCGTGGAGTTCTTCCATTATTAGTACGGTACATTTCATTACAGGGTGTTTAAAAAAAAGTTTTTTCTTTTTAAATGACTTATTTTTGTCGTGGCCGAGGCAGCGTGCTTGTTTGGAGAGGGTACCGTCTCCAATAGAAAACTCACATTCATCAACGCCGTTTGTGGCCTTAAAATACATATAAGGCGAAGTTTTCACAATTGGCCCGTCTTCATAGCAGATGAATTGACAGGGCCAGATAGTGGATAATAAGAGTTGGACACTGCACTTAATGTCATCGGGGCCCCATGAGAATTATATAAAAATGCGTTCCGATGACCAGGTTATTCAATTGGCAGTATCTGGTTAAACCAGCAGTATTTGTTGACCGAGGCGAACTGATGTTTGAGAGGTGATCAATTAGCTAAGTTTTGTTGGGTAGCTATAGAAAGGAAGTCAATTTTTTTTATTTCGTGATGACACAATTGTCAGGCAATGACAGTAATCTGACATGGACTTCCTACGGCATCCTTCCTGTAGCAACTGTGACCTGACAAGCGTTATGTAGTAACGTAGTTGTACTTGGCAGTTCTCGCCATCATTGATACATTGCACGCCCGATGACTCTGCCGACGAGACACTGCGTATCGGAACCAGTCCAGGGGTTGCTTGCATTGAATCAATACTGCTGAAATTATGTACTCCCACAAGGCCGTCTGCCCGATGGGGTTGTGTAAAAATAACTGCTATTTTTATTTGGAGAGACAGAAATATGAAAGGAGGCATTGTGTCTGTTTAGGCTCCTCGCCTGTCCAGGCTGGTGGAGTGCAATGGAATTGAGTTCTGGCTTCGCGCTTCCGAGTTCTGGATGTAAATTGTTTATTATTCTTGTTGTTGTCCTGATAAAAGTAACTTTTTTTTGCCCGCCCACGAACGGGGTTATTAGAAAGTAAATCTGAAATATTCAATAGAAAAATTGTTCAGCTCATTATTAATGAGGGGGGTTGCCCCATGTGGAGTGACGTCACCCGCTAATAGTTATTGGGGAGCGGTGCGGCATGTGGAGTGCACGACCTTCTTGTGCGTTAGTGTAAATTTCCACGCGGGCTTGAATATTAATGAAGGGGGGTGCTCTTTTGCAGTGACGTCACGTACGGATGTAGCACTGCTGCATATATTTATTTGTTACCGTCACTTTCTGTATAGACACGTCATATTTGAAGCGACTTGGTGTCACACATTATTTAATCTCGACCTGCGTTAGTGTAAAAATCCACCCACTCATGAATATTAATGAGGGGGAGTGGGCATCTGTAGTGACGTCACGCGGAGGGGTGGGCCTCATGTGGAGTGACGTCACGTGCAGGACGGAGACATTTCTGGGTGACTATAGTAGGTAATGGTTCTGAACCCACGAGGGCCGTGTTGTCCATTGACCAGGATTTGAACCCTCACACTCATGCGGCTACAAGCCAAGCCATCGGGACACAGCAATACTTAGACGATACCCACCCCGTGGCAATCACTCAACATGTTGAGACACTGTGGAGACGTTTTATTTTGGCGAGGGCAGCCGACTCGCTGTGTGCATCCAGGAGTGGAAAGCAACCTCCCAAACTCGAATTCATAATTAGTTTACGTTTGTTCAGATCGTCGTGTAGTGTATGACGCCAATTTTCTTACAATTATAACCCCACCTGACAGAGCCAATTTAATAACGTTTTCACGTGGGCAAAACCGTAATGTTAACAAGCAAGCACAACTTCTTTGAAAACTAATTTCTTTCGAACGGCTTTTTGGTATTTGGTTTGTCCTTCCCCCGCACCCCCGATTAGCATTGTTGACTACGTACGGTGCGAAAGAAGTTCAACAGACACACAACTTGGACTTGTATAAAAAAAAAACTCCGTTCGAACGGCAGAGCTATTGCTAACGTTAAACAATTGAATCATTTGGCGGGACCCTGGGGTCCGGCAAAAATCAGGTCAATAATTTTTATTTTTCTTCAGTCCGCCCCACTCGTGACCCCGACAGCAACGCGCCGCCCGCCCAGACTCGCGCCAACAAGCGCCACCAGCAGGCGGCGATCGACACGATGGGCGCCACCCCACCGGCCAAACGCAAGCCCCGGGGGGCGTCCGCCCTCCGGTCAGCCGTCGACCCTCAGCTTCTTTGCCAAGGCGAGCCCCGCCCCCCAGGCAGTGAATTTAACGTGTTTATGTAATTTTTCAACTTTTTACGAAACTTAGTGCCCCGAGTAGCTCTCGACGAGGCCAATCGATTGGCCACTAGCTTTGTTGTTGGTAAGGCAAGACTCGTGTCGCTACGCGGGTTTTCCCACCCCGGGGCAGTGATGGGACCCCGGGGTCCCGCCAATTGCTTCAATTGTTACAGTTAAAAATATGGCCGTTGTACGTACGCGATCGAACCCAATACAAATGATGTCCATCGGTCATGGAAGCCTACACCCCAAATTCTCCCTCCCCCCCCACCCAACTCCACGGACAGCTCACCTTCGAGTGGACGGCTCGCTTTGCCAACATCTGCCACAAACAACGCATACGGGGGCCATGTGGGGGCCCATTAATATAGTGGGGCCATGCATGAGTTGGCATACTACGTATCGACTAATATATACTTATCCTTTATAAGAGTAATATTTACAACAAAAAAACCACACACACATACTCCCTATACATTCGTCCATGCTATACGATGTGGATATATAACTTGATATGCGAAATACTGTAGCGCATAACTTGACAGCCCGACCGAGATAAAAAAAATGTTCACCTACGGCGAAATAACGCAAGCGGAGCGGAAGGTACAATCGTTCATTTTCTTTTAAATCCCACGAAATCCTTTCAAATCGTAGTGACGCAGGAGAAGCGTTCGCCTCTCTAGTGGCTGATAATGGCGCTGCCCCCCATCCCAAGGAGCATGGCAGTGGCGCATTTAAAAAGAGGGTCTCGCGATTATTACACGCTGCACGGCTGGCTTTTAATTACGGACAATTATATTTTTAGAAAATGTCGACTTGGTGGCAATCTCCGTCTTAAGTCAACGATTGTCATTTTAAAAATCAGCTTCGACGACTGGCCAACTCTATTCATAGAAACACACTAAACTATTGGGACCTATAGTGGGGCACAGGGGAACACTTGTCACAGAACAGGGCCAACATTTAATTTAAAACGTAGAGACACGCGGCAGAGCAAAGGGACGTAGAGATGCATGGCAGGGCATAAGAACGTGTCAGGACAAATGGACACATTTCAGGACACGAGGTTCGATGTCAAACACCTCGTCAGGGCTAAACGCGGCAATGTTTGCACAATGATTCGATGCGAAAGGGCGCCCACTCATTATCGGAATACGGTAATATGTGCATGCCTAGAGCCTAAACCATCACCGACGCAACCCAAAAGAAACCTAACTGTTATGCTGTCGTTTTTTAACACCTCGACTGCGTGTCCTTGCCGTTCAACACAAGTGTGAAGCTTCGTTAAAAAGGGAACAAAAGAAGTGAAAGTTACAGTCACGTGGCTTTCGGGAGTGCTGCCCTAGAGACTTCAACTGCGGAGAGACCGCCGTAGCTTTTAATGAAAGGTAGAGGGGGGGGGGCATGGCATTGCGTCGATGCCACGATGCACAATGCATGCTGGAAGCCGGCCATATTAGGCCAATGCAGGTCTGCGCGCGTTGGGGAATTTCAAACTCACTCCATCTGAGAAGCAATTGGCCACGATTCGAGAGTTGAATCGGTGGTCTGCCACGCTGCCAGGGATCAAATTAGTTTTAGCAACAAAAGAAGCGAGCACCCAAATGTGTTGTCGCGTTATGTCCTCCGTTCACAAACATGCAGCCCAAGGACTTTATCTGGCTAGAGCGATATTCTGGTCAATGAAGAGCAGAAGTTGACACGCGGGAAAGAGAGGGGGGGTAATGTACTGCTACTCCCACAGTTACCACTGCCATATTTTCTTCTACAATGGGGGATGGGGGGGGAGGGGGTGTTCTGCGAGACACAGATAGCAGTTTTAAGGGGTCATTGGTCCAAACGCCACTGAATATTAACGGACCTATTTCTCCACGACGATTGTGCCAACACAGGGGTCAGCGAACCAAAGTAACAAGAAGAGGCATTTTTCGAATTCGGTACAAAACTCAATATTTCCAAAGCCGCAATGCATGCGAACACGTACTACACACATTACGTCACGGAGCAGTCCGTATAGAGCCGCAGGTTGCCCGACCCTTGAGCTTACAAGAGGTCATAAACCGACCGCAGATATTGTCCTTTCGCTCTGGCTGACGTTCCGCGGCATAAGCTTGCAGGACCATTCTAAACACCGCGTCCGATGAAAGCAACATCGCGTTACGGTCATGCTGAACTGTACCGAACCACACAGAGGAAGGAGGCCACACTCTAGGCCTGAAATTACCACGTGCGTGCGGCAAAGGGCTGTGATTCGCTGGCTGTGTTTTCCAAGTGGGACGGTGGGGTTGGTGGGGAACTATTTTATTTTGTCGTCAACACACGGGGCCCAGAAGCGAGTCTCCTGTAGCCAGGAATCAAAGAGGCCGTGGCTCCCCTCCAGAGCCATGTCAAAGAGCATCTCCCAGCTCCCAACGAGCGCACGGGCTGGTAGGCTTGTCACTTCCTGGCGGCCCCGAGCCAGCGGTGGGATTTCCGCATGTTTGAGTAAAGCAGGCGGGGGAGGGGGGGCAAGTCTTTCCCGTCTGACCTCTGTTGACTTCCCACAAAGTGGTGCTTAATTTACCAACCCCCCCCCCCACCCCCCCGGGAGGGATGATGGGTCGAGTCGGCCCCTGACTGGCATAACGAGCAGGCATCATTTGGCTCTCGCCACCCCCCCCCACCCCCCCACACTCGAATGACCATTATATCTAAAGTTGTGATAAACGAGGTCTATTTCAAAAGGGCATAAACATTGAAAGCTTTTGTGGAAAATTGTACAGCATAAAAAAAAAAAACCAGATAGGTCTTATGGACAAACGGGGCAAAATATGGCAGCTTCATCAGATTTCTCCTAGAGGTTTCCATTGAACTAACATTTAAAACTGTTCCTAATTGTTCTTCAGGTAAAAAAAAAAACTGCTTCAAAAGTAGAAAATGTAATAACAATCGCAGTTTGTCGCAATATTTCAATAAATATACGGAAAATAAAATAACAGTTTCAGATCGGTCGACTGAGAAGAGCATGGTGGGTCTGACCGGCAATGGGAAACTACCATTGCTGTAATGGCAGATAAGTGCTCCGGATGGTGACGGATACCATGCGACAAGTGCTCCGGACGGTCACGAGAGAATGGGACCAAGCAGAGAGGTTGGTGCTCTCACTCACGGCGGCCCACTACCCTCGTTGCGCCTCTGCGTACTAAGAGGGCTGGTCCCCGCCATCAAGGCTGCCTTAGGGTGGACACCAGAAGGTTTTTTTCAGGCCTGGGAAGAAAAAAAAACTTCCCCACCTGCCACCCCCTTCTCTACGGCCCTCCCGAGGCTGTACGTGAACCTATCAGTTCACGCCAACGCCATAACCCTCCAAAGCTTCAGCAAAATCCAAACCACTCTGCTGGTGATTTGATGGCACCACCAGCTTCTCACAATGGCCATCACATCGACGATGTTGATCAAGATGATGGCGGTGATGACGATGATGACGATGATTAACATGGAAACAGCAACTGGATTCACATCTCGTTAAAATCCTCAAACGAATTTGGATTGAAATCGGCTTTGCGACAGAACGGACTCCGCAGAACTGGAAACCGGCAGAGCCCTTGGTGAAGCGCAAGCATCTCACCGGGGTTGGCTGCACCGGGCATCGACTGGAGCATTGCTGGCTACACGTTCCTGGAGCTGGGCCTGCCCCCAACTCAAATCTCAACCACAATTAGCCAGCATTGTATTTCAGTTGTTCCGCGTGATCCAACGCCAGGACTGGTTTTGCCAGATAAATGCCCCCCCCCACTCCTCCCCACCACTGCTGCTAGGGTTGCCACCTCTATCCTGGTTCCCTCAGGATCGTCCATCCTCATGTCGAGGTAGCCATCCTGGGAAATTTGTAAACATCCCGGTTTTTGGCCGTCTGCGTTATGACGCGCCGCTCAAGGCAACGCGATTACGCGTATACTAGTTCTTCCCCTCTTGCGCTATCCATTCCCACTTGTTTTTCTTATTGAGAATATTACATGCACGTATTTTCGAATCGAGGAGACGGCAACCCCGGCAGGCTTTCCGCGCCTGCCCCCCCCCTGCCCCCCCCCGGGGGGCAGGCGCCTCTCTACTTGTCGCTGTCGGCACAGCTGCTCAGGCTCTGCGTGGTGGTGCTGTTTTCCGAGCCGGGGAGCGGGTCCGAGTCGCGCGTCGCGTCTCCCCCGGGGAGCAGGGCGGGCGCCGCCTCCGGGGCGGTCGTGACGGACGCGGCGGCGGGGGCGGGGCCGGCGCGCGTCGCGATGGCTGGAGACGGGGTGGTGGTGGTGGGGGGGAAGGGGGTGGGGGGGTGGGGTGGGGAGACGCGGTACGGAGGGAGGCACGGGCAGAGAGAGAAGGGGTGGGGGTGGGCGGGGCCTCCGCGTCGACGTGTGGGAGCTGTGCTGGCGACGCGCGATGCGACCGGCTAACGCGCTCGGGTCGTGGACCCAGATGGGCAAGCGGAGAGGCAGGGGGAGGGAGAGAGAGAGAGACAAAGGTTCGCACCGTTGGCTACGTACGGTGCGAAAGAAGAAGTTCAACGTACACACAAGCTAAACTAAATTTTTTTTTATTTTACCATGTTAAAATTCCCGCTGAGCTATGTAGCTCTTTTCGTGAAGCGACCTGGCCACAAATGATAGCTCAACGAAACGGATTATCGCGCGGAAATTTTAAGCAGTCGAATACTCTGAACGCTTGGTGTTGATTCAAAATGTGGAGGGGAAAACCGGAGGACCTGGAGAAAAATCCGCACGGCCACAGGGAAAGCGAGACACGTAAACTCCAAATATACAGCAGGTATCGTCAGGGTCGGGATCGAAACCCACAAACGACTTCCTGTATACCAGTCGAGATGGTTAACATCTAACCACAGTAGCACATATATACATATATACAGAGGAAGGCCGCTGCGGAACACGAGGAGATGGACATGGTGAGCACCAGGGTGGGAAACCAAGAGGCAGGGTCTTCGGAAATTATGGTGGACATATGTTGAACTTCTTTTGCACCGTACATAGCTAACCGTGCTAAATCAAACGTGCGGGTAAGGAGGTCCCTTGCCAGGATATGAAGGATTGTGGAGTGGACATGGAGATGATGGCCCAGGACAAGAATGAGTCGAGAGAGAGGAGCAGGAAGCCATATCCACACAGAAGTGGGTTAAAATGCCAGGAAGAAAATAGGAGGCTTCAGTTGTTTTATTATAGGGAAGACAGCTCTGAGATCTCGAGCCTGGTGGCGCTGTGGTGGTTGGACCTGTCCACTCACAATTGAAAGGTTAAAATGTCCAGTCAATGATCGACTTGACCCATCATCATGGTCAGCACCTTTCTATGATCAGCAAAATAAGAACCACTTTGTGGGAAGTCGGCTGTCCCACTGAAAGACAGGCAAATCGTAATGCCATGGGGATGTGGAATTTCCAACACTGACAGGGCTACGAAGAGATAACAGCACCGCTCAATGCCCTTTTGAGCGGCAGGGGAAAACAGTTTCGTTTAGACCACCGGGTGAGATAAAGGTGGTTTACACGTGGCTGACACCGGCCAACACTCTCCTCTTGCGCGCCCGTGCCAGACCCAATTAGGCGCTCGTCAGCGGCAGCAAGGAAGTGCCAACCAGCGGCTCCGCGTCTCTTGTCTATGCGCGCGTCCACGAACAGGCGTGTGCTTTTCTACCTAAAGAGCCAGTCCTGCTGTGGATGAGCCAGAGCGCAGCGGTGAGGAGAGCGCCGATGAGGAATGCGCCAAACGCCACTCCTAGCACCGACGGCGTGTCGACGCCACGCAGAGCTGCACCGCGGAGAGAGACGCGCGTGGTTAGCCGGGCGCTGCCTGCGGACATACGTACGTAGAACTCCCTTCGCACCATACAGTCAACAGTGCTGATCGGAGGTGTGGGGGAAGGACAAGCGGAACACAACTAGCAGTTACAATGAAATTACTTTTCAATCTATATTTAAAAGAAGTGCATAGCTCCAGTGGCTTCCTAATACAATGCAATCATCACACTCGCATGCACCACCAAACACCCACACTGTCACAGTCACATCGTTAGCACCCTGTGCTAACCCCGCACCTCCGATTAGCACGGTTGGCTACGTGCGGTGCGAAAGAAGTTCAACGTGCATGCAAGCACCAAATACCCACACTGGTGCAGTTGCTCACCGTTACCGTGCAGCTGTTCCTGGCTGGTGGTGGTTGCGATGACGTGTCGCAGGGTCGGACCGCGGAAGTTGATCATGCAGGGTCGCGCGGGCACGTCCGGGCACTGGGCAGCACGGCATGGAAACAACAGCAGAGGGGGGAATGTCAGCAATAATGTCATGAGCAATGCCAAAGGACCCAAAAACAGCTGTCAGACAACAACGCCAACAGGCCCAAGAACAACGTTAACAACAATAACGAGAACCTCAACAACACCAGGAACAATGGCGACAACAACATTAACATCATCAATGCCAAAAAGCGTCACCTCGACAACTGTGGTCTATGGGTGGCCACACGGAGTGGCTTCCCACAGTACAAACACAACACAAGTCCGTTTTCGCACACGAACCTAATTGCACGCATAAGGCGAGCTCGCTTTGTAACCGAATCAAATCGCGTGCAAATGCGACACCAACATTAAATTTGGGCCAATGACGCGAACGAGACGGAATAAGACAGAACAACCAACCAACATGTGACACAATTAAAGAGAGACGAGAAAAAAACAATTCTTTAAATCAAACTGCGATGCCCACCATGCACCTCCTTCTCCGTGCCTCTCTGGATTACACGGAGGCACGGAGGAGGGAGGGGGGTGGGGGAGACGAGGTGGAGGAAGGGGCGGGTCGTACCTGTATCTGTGGCAGCTCCATCATGGACAAGCACACAGACACGTTGCAGTGCAGGTACTGGAGACGCGCGTCCGAGCGAGGGGACAGCGGGAACCGGAACCTCATACTCGCCTCTGCCATCGCAAACAGAAAGACAAGGGCAACCACCGTCTCCCATGTGGCCCACACAGGCCGTTCGCGAGTCACATACGAGGGGCCCGCACGACGCACGAGGCGGGCGTTTTGTGGTGCGGTCAGCACCGCCAACGCCTGGCCACCAAAGGTCTCGCGCTGGTGCCGATGTTTTACGCGCCGCACCAGGTAGTCATTTTATTCTTTAGGGAGAGGGACAGAAAAGGTCTTGTTCAGAGGCGCCCTGGCCACACACGATAAGCTCATCGAAGTGGCTTTATATCATATTGAAATTTACCAAAGCCGAATAAAAGCTACAACGAATGTTTCTAAATGTGGAAGGCAAAACCGCGGGGAGAGAGAACACGTGAATATTCATATGTACAACAGGGTCGGGATTGAACCCACGACCTCCTGTGTACCAAGTGAGGGAGATAACATCTTCTCGCAACCGTGGTGCCCCGGTAAACTCGGCAAAGCCCAGGACCAGTTTCAAATAATTTGCCGCTGTGGGCCTGGGCCGAGAACTCAGGTTCGTAGCATGGTGCACGCCAACCACTCGCTTGCACAATTCACTTACACTGAGGAAATCGGTACCAATCAGGGTTGGTCCCCTCAGGCGATATGACCAAGGGGGGAACATCTGGGTCAGGCCAGATGTGTTTTTGCAGACTACAAATACAATTTCCATTTGATTTATTAAACGACTAAATGTCGTTTCACAAATTGGTGTCTCAAGATGTGTAAATTATGGGCTTTTTACGTGATTAATGAGGCAGGAAGAATTTTGGGGGGAAAATTGGGGGCAAATTTTTCTCCATGCTGGAAAGAAACAACGGAGCACATTCATCATCACCGTCATCTCAGCCACGATCCATCCCCCACGGCTGTATGAAGATATTCACATTATCTGTAGATACAACTGAAAGATCACGGCTGCTGTGATGATAATTATGATATCCAATGCATTACCTCAAGGCTAATGGAACCGGCAATACAACAAAACAAGACATATGAAACAGGAAATAGGACAAACGAGACATAAACACGAGATTTTTTTTTTTAGATAAAACGTTTTACTTCAGAACCCTGTAGAGTGATAATGAATCCAATCATTAGGGAGCTGGAGGGGAATAGTGATGACGGTGCCGAACCACCACCCTCCCCTGCCACAGTGTGTCCACACGGCCCCGCTATAAGCCCCCCCAAGCACTAACAGCCCGGGCCCAGTCAACGTGGAATGTCGGGCCAACGTCGGGCAAACGTTGGTACATTTTACCAAGTGGGCCCCATTTGACCAAACCGCATTGACCAGTGCGGGTGATGTATGTTCAAACGATGCCCGTAACTGACACGGCGCGGGGAGAACCTCTATCCAGTAGTCGATTGAGAATGGGCTGTGTATATACTTGCATTACCGGACCACTCCCCCCCCACCCACCACCCGCGACCTCAACGTTTCGTCTCACGACGCATGTGGTGGGACAAACATTTCGGGTGAACCTCGAGCTACCGTAGGAACGTACCTTCACCGGCCGGGGCGACCCTCAGAAGCTCCACGCGTGAGTTCACAGGACAGAAGTTGGCAATCAGCGAGTCGGCCTGGGCAACACAGAGGCAGCGGCGGCGCGGTCACACGAAAAACAAGCTCGTTTTGTGAAGTTAGGAGAAGAAGAAGAAAAAAACTCAACGTACAGTATGAAAAATAAGAATAGGTTTTACCCTTTCTGGCAATAAAACAGGCGAAAGGGTAAAAACATTCTTACTTTTAATACTTTGATACTGGCAAAAAGATCCCATGATAAATGTACAGCGTTACTCGTGTAAAGTGGGTGTACAGGTAACAAACAACACACCCCAAAGTCACTGTCATTACCACTTCCTTAGAAGAGGATAGATTAACCCTTTCCCGTTCGTAGACATCTGGAAGTTGTAGGGTGTGGGGGGGGGTCCTGCTCACTGCTGAATCTCGGAATGCGTAAGCGGTTCGGCGTAAATTTTATTTAGAGAGGCGTAGTGCCGTTGTTTTTAAAGACATTGTTGCTCACTGCAGAGAACCGTAGTGACATGACCTCTGCACTCTACAAAAACTGGCACCAAATTGTGCCACACGCCTTCCCGCGTGGCCTTGTGCGAGTCTCGTACCGATAAAGTTTTGATGACGTACACATACAAATCACACGAACGTCGTCGGAACGGAATCGGAAGAAAAACTGATGACGTACACGTGCAGCATTGGAATGGGAAAGGGTTGAGCAGGTCGCCATTTCAGGCAATGAATGACGCCAAAGTCAGGAATCGAACCCAGGCCCCTTCTTGCTGCGAGGCGCGTACATTACCACTGCGCGGCCACCCTGATGCTCCATGCCCCATTCCAGATTGTTTAATCCCTTTGCAGGCCAACCATTTTTTTATTATTCTCAGAGCTGTGATTTAGCCAAATTATGATTTTGTTTTTACGTAATGTTATTTCGTACAATAATTAGTGGCAGAGCTGGTACCAGAGATCCGCTAAAGTTGAAGATCTGGTTTCATCACAAGTGGCCGAATTCAAATCCAGAATTTCAATTTGTGCCTTTTTCCTATTGTCGTATGGCTGCTGATGGAGATGCAGAGCAACAACTACAATTTCACATTAGGGCAGTCAAGCCGGGCAACCACGTCAGGAGCAGAGGAGGGTATCGCCGTGATGTCTCCTTCGTATTTGTTGAACAGGCACTGCGTTGTCACGCATTGTACGGTCTATTCAGGATGATCAGTTGCACACTACTGGGAGAGTTTTCACATTTTTCATTTGTACATCAGGTATCCGCATCTGCCGTAGATTGTGCAGTGGATGCGATTTAGGGTGGACCATGAGCTTCTTGGAAGATAAAACCCAGGGATCTTCTGCGTTGGGTCTTTCACAACTGGGTGTTTTGTTCGTGTTCATTGGTGCCAGCTCAGTGCTTATTGACCCCCGGAGGCACCTGGCCAACGCTGTAGTGCAGTAACCTCTCGTCACACACCTCTGGGGGTAGCTGTGCAGGTCCCTCAGATTCTGATAAAGCTGGTGACCCCACGGCAGGTTTTCGGGAATCCGAGACAAAGCACGCTTGCGCAAAAATCTGCGCTCCCGGAATCTGTGCGGAAATCTGCGGAGCCAAACCAAGACGGGCACAAACTAAGATCGACAATTCAACGTGTTTTTTTTTTTGCACAGGAGCTTATACCACCACACATTGGAGTTTAAACCGGAGTAAAATTAATCCAACATGGTTAGGATTCCTGAACCTTGCGTTGGCGGAAGCCACATTTTGCGGATTTTTTCATAGGAGAAGGGGTGGTATAACTGTCAAGTTCATGTCAAATATCAATGCAGTCTGCCTTTTTCCGCCAACACAGGATGGAAACTCGAGTAGCGTTGGGAAGGTTCCTGCAGATTCATCGCCCCTGCGTCAACCCGCAAGTGTCATAAACCGCCCACGCGTGAATAAATTAGATTGTTGAACTATTCCATAAATACAATAAGTCCCTTACCTGCCCACCCCCCCCCAACACATGGGTCAAACAAGAGTGTTTTATATTTCACCCTGGCACAGCGTTGAGATCCCGCCTAATGGAATGATGACAGCCGCATGGGTTCTGGTAACGTTGACCTAATTTCTCCTCCAACCAGGATAAACGTTTTTTGGCATTGTGCATCTTGTTTGACACAAACACGTCTCAAGGCAAGCGTGGGGGCACAGCTGTGAGTGGCTTTTCACCAAAATTAACCAATTCCTTTCTGTGGGCTTGACGGCAGCATTAACGTTCAGGGAGGCCAAATGCCAAAGTCGAGGAGGTCTGCTCGCCACTTACGAGAGAGGGCTCCAGGAGAGAATTTGTGTAGTTTTGCTTCGTTGAAGGACGGCCCAGACTACAGTGGTATTTACGATATGGTCTCTCCTGCCCTCTACCAATTGAAGAAAAGGGGGAACTTATCCTCCTTTTCCACAATATTTTATTTGATTAAACATTTTATCATCTACCTTCCGTCCTCTCACCCGGATCCCAGATGGCATTCCAAGTCCTGTGTTGCCTTTAAATGACACACTGTCACGTGGTCTACAGTTCGGGTCACATGGCCACAAACCGCACTCCTGAGATTTGTCTGTAATCTCCGAATACGTGAAGGAGATGTTGCGCATCAGCCTGTTGATATTCTGATGATGTTGCTGGTTATACGCATGTCTTATTCGAAGATAAAATAACTGGTGCACATCAGAAACACCATCGGACCCCTTCAAAATATTTACATTTAAAAAAAAGAATCCGCTGATAATGTAAAACAGACCAAGGGAGCTTGCTTATTACATGCAAATGTAAAGGAAGATTCCGCATTGAGCCACACAGGGTACGGGGGAGAGAGTTCCGTCAGCGAGCACCTATCACGTTTGACAGGGCGCAACGTGTGGTGTGGGTCAGCATCATGCCTGGTGGCCCTCAAGTGTTGCTTGTGCTGAGATTTACACAAAACAGTAGGTATTCATTTAAGGCTGAGCCAACCTAGGAGATGCCCATAACAATTTCTGATGTAATTTTGCCACTCATCTTAACTCCGGATGGGAAATCGAACTCGGCGCACTAAACTGACATATTACCGCTCCCCACAGCACAGACGCACACAAACACACAGCACACGCAAAGCAAGGCAATGAACAAAGAATTAGCTATTTGTACAGCAGAATTACCGTGATGAAATGAGATGAGAGTTGATGCCGAGGAAGATAGTAAATTAATATGATGGTGTGCGAAATAGACGACCGTGAAAGTGACGGTGAGTGGTGAACGATGAGAAAACATGATGAATGCGGAGGGAAGTTTGGAAAGAAGAGATTGGCGCTCACCTTCACAAAAACATCGCTTCCCGTTTCTACCAAATCCGTAATGGGCTGCACGAACTCGGAGTCCTTGAACAGGTCAAACGAGTAGATGGAACGGTCCAAGAATTCAGGCTCCATCTGTTCATTGATTCCTATGTGGCCTGGAGCGCCGTGCGGGTTTGGTGGCGAATTTTTAAAAGGTAGGGGGCAGTTGAGCTGGAAAACAAAACAGAGACGCACATCATCATCACCACCAACAACGACGACGATGACGACGACGACAACGACGTCACCATCACTGCCGCCGCCATGGTCACAAAGCGGCGAATTCAACGACGCACCGGAGAAGCGAGCGCTTTTGATCGTCTTACGTTGACGGTTCGCAGGATTCCTTCGCCCTCAGACTCGGGCACGTGGCCCGGATTAATCACGATTTGGATCTGCGCAAACAAACAAAAAAAAACATCCACACACATGGGATACAACCGACGATTAATTCAACTGCGCGCTAAACGCACGACGACAAAGCAAAAGACACGATTGGCCGTTCACCCACGCACACCACGGAGGGCAAGCGCTGCTCACGAGCACGCCCGTTCGTTATGCGCAAGCGTCGGGACGGACACCGAACGCCGCCGACCGCCTCTGCCTGGCCGGCAAGTTCTCAAGCTTGCAAGCCACTATTCGGCCTTTTCGGATCTCGCCGGCAGATGGGGCCCAGTTGCGCGGGTTCTTTTGTGCTGATGCGGGAGCCCCGTTCCTGACGTGTTGATGGGAGTGCCCTAACCAATAACATCCGTACAGACCAACTGTTTTATTAAGAAGCCTGGCTGCCGCTGACAAAACCCCAAGGATTAAGAGGTTTACTCAACCACAGTTGTTTGACACGAGTCTGTGAGGCCCGGCATGTGAAGGGTATTTAAATTTGTATGGGGAAATGCAGCATGGAGGAGGGTCGACGCACGAGATTTGTTTTCCAATTGGGGTAGCAGCCACGAGGGTCGCCAGGAGTCACGAATAAACAACGATGGACGATCACGTGCAACAGCGATGCATCACGAGCGCGAGGCTTGAGTGCGTTCAGTGCAGACGGTGCAATTGCACCGGGGCCAACGGGGCCTGCAGCGGCCCAGGCACCCGACTATTAAGTCAAATGGACAGTGGCGGGTGAGCAGCATTTCATCCCGTGCCCCCAGGAGCCCCACGGAATACCATTCATCGGAAGCACGCAACGCTGGCTGCCGTCTACTGCAACGGTCCCCATACATAAATACCGTTCCGAGCACGAAGGCTTCGGGGGAAGTTGGCAGCCTTTAGCGGGCGGCCCCCCCTCGTGCCATCTGCAACAACGGCCACCGGGACCAACCCCCCCCCCCCCCCCGCGTCCTCCGCCCCGCGGGCTCTGCCTCCGCGCGGCGGGCACCTGGTTGGAGTAGGAGATGAGGCCGTCCATGAGGGTGAAGTTGGAGCTGCAGTTGTGGTAGTCTGTGTGCAGCACGAAGTGCGTCTCATTCTCCATCGCCACGCACCGCTCGTCCAGGAGCGTCACGCGCAGCGGGGTGCCGCCCACCAGCTGCACAAGCAGTAGACGGCACGACAGCGTGCAGACACGGTCAGCTGCGATTGCGCGCACAGCGTCGGGGCGACGCGCCGGGTTTCGAGGACCGGCGCTAAACGCAATTGGTCAGCGAACGGTGGACGAAAATCAACGCGCGTGCAACGACGATGACCTTTGACTAATGACACCAAGCGCGAGTGACTGTGATGGGACGTAACCAACAAGTCTGAATGAAGACGCAGACCGGAGGTGAATTACTCAAATTATTGGAGACCACGGTGCACCCAAGGAAGGGCAACACACAATCGCCTATCTGCGTGTGCGTAGGTATACGAAAAGATTTACGGAGTTCAACGATCACCTGACTTGATAATAATGACATGGGTTGGAGGGGGGGGGGGATATTTGCTCACCCCTTATACCGCGATCCATAGGCAAGAGTGTGTTTGACAGCATTTTCAACTGCTTTAGTCGACGAGACTAAGAGAACGATGAAATGAAATCCACAAACTAAGACTTGACAAGAAAAAAAACTCTACAGGTTGCAGTCAACTCGACCTCAGACTACGACTGTAATCAAACACTCCCCCAGCTAAGTTTGACACTGGCCCTGCCTGTAAACACTGTCCACCTGGGTCGCCTCACCCCTCCACGTGCTCTCCACTCCAGTCTCCCACTAACCAACACCCTCCCCAGTCAGCCCTCATTCTCTGCTGTTCCTGCTGCCCCCCCATAGTCTGGCATTTCCTTTCTCCGGCCGTCTACAATGGCCTTCCCCCATTTCAAGTCCGCGCTCAACGATTTAGCTTCTTCCGCTCCACTTCCTTCGCAACTTGTCTGTTGGTTCATTGCCGTGCCCCGTTCTCCCTTAGACCCCTCGCCCCCCCCGCCGGGCCCCCCACACGCCACATGTTTATTCCGTCACACAGGATCCTGGGATGCGCTCTCACTATTAGATTTAGATAATTTGGCTGCTATACATTTCCACACGATAAGCCATTCATTGAGCTATCATGTGGCCAGGTTGCTTCTGAAAAAGAAGTGATGAGCTCAGAGAGCCTGATCTGATAAAATAAATATTGTTTGGTTTTAGTTTATTTGTTTATTTTTAGTGATTTTCTTACCTTGCCTATACTTTAAACTCCTATTGTTGTTTTGTATTGTTTAGTGTTGTAACTTTCTGACCCACCCCTACTGGACATCCGTGAAAAAATAGCTTTATAGGTCATCAGATACCTCCAGTATAAAGATTTTGATGTGGATTGTGTTTATCCGTATTATAGAGACATACATTTTCATAATTCAGATGTTAATTTTCACGACGATGATGACGTTGACAGTGATGCTGCATATATCGACGTGTGATGTTTGCGTAGAGATTGTTGACAATGTTACCGTTGTGCTACAATGACGACGACGACTATCGATCGATGATAATTACGACAACGTCAACGATGGTGACGATTTTAATATCGGCGATGTCGACCTATCGTGCGCGAGTGAGCACTCACAATGGACGCTTCCTTCCACACGCTCACGATCATCTTCGTCTCCAGGCAGCGCAGGGTCACGCCCATCTGCACCTCCATCTCCAGCACCACGTCCCCGTGGCTGTCGTGCTTCATGCCCAGGCCCGGCGGACGGTTGTGAGGGTTTCCCGAGTCAGAGCCGGCTCTCTCCGACGGGTTCACCGGCCACAGAATATCTTGCCCCAAGCGGAACGAGGATAGCATTTTCTCATCCAACGGAGAGATCTCCTTGCCGTGCTGGGACGGAAACAGCCTGACATCTCCCAGATCAGAGAAGGCGTGGGCGGGGATGTTTATTCCTTCTCCATCGGGGCTGTGGGTGTGGTCATCGAGGTCTGGAAAAAGAAGACGTAGGATTTGCCATGAGATATCTGACCGAGAAGGCCCAACAACTAGGCGTGTGAACATCGGCAGCGGGGAAACAAAGGCAGCCAACCACCCCCTTGTGTGCTGTGCCGGCCTTTGTAGATGCTCGCGAACAGCACTTGGTCCATATGGGGGATATTCATCTTTTGTTTCATGGGGAGTGGTAGCACAGCGGTTTGCGCACTGCGCTAGGAACACGGCGACCTGAATTGGATTCCTGCACATGGTCAACATCGGTGATGACTATCTAAACTGGTCGTGGGCCTCTCCTAGGCTGACTCAGTGTCTGGTATTGTATGTAAACATCAGCACTGGGAAGATCAAGGCGGCCAGGTGTGGCGCTGGCCACACCACCCCCTCATGTGCCATGCGGACCCGAATCGATCCTCGCTAACAGCTCTTGCCCCCAACAGTCTGTCAAAGGCTACATGGGGGATCTTTGTCTTTGTGTGTGCATGTGGTATGTCAGTATGTGCAAGCATACCAGGTGAGGGTGGAGGGTTTCTGTTAAATCCTTTTTGAGGTTGGAACTTTAGGAGAGGCACTCTGTCAACCTGCACATCTGCCGATTCTGAAACAAATCACACACAGATAGAAAACAATGGACAGATACAATCTTACACACACACAGTTCATGCACACACAGACAAATAGACATGCACAATCTCACCAAGCCAGCAAGGCTGAGGCTCTGGGTTCGAATCCAGGCCTCAGCCACCTGTTATTATACCAGGTGCTAAAGTGTAGCGAGTTGATGGTCTCAGGTCACGAATTACTTCACGGAACAAAAACTACCACATTAATTCTAGTCAGGATAATTTGTCGATTGAGTCTAACCAATCGACTTGAAAGTTATAAAATCGATTACTTTGGGCCAACTTTACAAATAGCAACTACCCCATCATCCTGCCCCTTGAAGGCAGGAAACCCCCCACCCCTCGTCTGCAAGCCACATCCAGCGTGACGTGGCCAATGGTGTCAATGACATCACCAAGACCCCCCCCCCCCAACTATTTCCGGGTTGTCGAACCGATAATTAAATTGGTAGAGTCAGCGATCACTGGTAATGACCGAATTACCCAGCTCTAATTACTCATTTAAAACTATTTGTTTTTACCATTTAAGGCCCACTGAAATAAACAACTCTTTTTCAGAAGTGACCTGGCCACAAATGATAGTTCAACAAAGTGGCTTATTTGGAAATTTATGGCAGCCTAAATACTATAAACGCATGATGTTGATTCTAAATGTAGTGGGGAAAAACTGGAGGACCTGGAGAAATATCCATGTGACCACAAGGAGAACATGCAAACTCAAAATATACAGGCGTCAGGGTCGGGATAGAACCAACGACCTCCTGTACAAGAGGTTAGGTAGTTAACATCTTCCCCACCGCGGAACAATTTAGCTTGTCACTATATTCCACAAATTCCATCTCCAAGGGCTAAATCACTGCAATTTGATAACCGTGCAATGCACACACACGCATTGCAGGACATAAGGGGTGTGCCCCCAGTGTTGAAATTAAAAATGTTGAATTAAGGGGACTTCAGGAGTAGTTCTGCAAAGCCAACTTCATGGGCCTTCTCTACCAAAATGTCATCCTGCTCGCCATGTAAGTTCTGAAAAGATATCTCACAACGCTGATAGAACAATTGCTCATAGTTGTCTCCCCATGCCACCCCTAAAAAAAAAAGTAAATCTATAATCGTAACATAAATATTTATATCTGTTATAGGGTCACATATGAGAGGCGAATCAAAGTTTGTGGCCTGACAGAAGGAGGAATAGTACAAGAAAAAATGGAAAATGTTCAGTTAAAATTAATACATTTTGCTACTCCAGATTGATTAGCACAAATGTATTGCTACAGAAGGATACTGCATCTAAGCTGGACCCAAAAAGTGTCCAACGTAGAAGAAAATGGGTTGCAGATACAAGAAAACAACCTGATGATGCAGGCAGTGATGAGGAAACTGGCACTATTTGGGACCCATATGTAGGATGGACAACAGGAAAAAAAAGTGTACCTTTTGAAAAATGTAAGGAACCAGAAAGAGAGGAAGACCTAACAGAGAATGGCTTCTTGATGACGACATAACAGATTGGTGCCACAAAGATGTGGCACTACTTGAGCATATTGGCACAAGACAGAGGAAAGTGGAAACATGACGACACGTGCAGTGGACACATGGGTTGTGATGATTTCACAACAATAGAATAATGGTCATGGTCTACATGCATTGGGTAGCAAGGTGGTGACTCTCATGCCTCGCTCGGAGCAAGAAGGGCCTAACTTCGAACGCCATGCTGTGTGAAGTTTGTATATACCCCCCCCCCCCGCCCATCTGTTCTGCATGGGTTTCCTCAGTCTTCGGGTTTTCTCCCGTAGCTATAAAAAAAAACTGCACACAATGTAACTGGCATCTGCCAAAAAAAACCACCCCAATGCAATCGACTCAATTCGGATTACACAGGGCAATATCGCCACCCCTACTGCAAAACATTGGCAGGACCCTCTTTGAGACGAACAAAAAAGAGTCTTGAGACTCATGCGAGGCTTTCCTGGGTAAACAAGCACAATAGAAATACTAATAATACATCCGTCAGCACAGCCAGCACAGCTCACGTGGGGTACCGAGGTCTGCAGGGATGGTCAGGCGGATGTGGTTGGCCTGAGCGACCAACGTGTAGGTTGCCACGGGCGACAGGCCCCGCCTCCGAGCCCAGCCAATGAGGTCTCGGTTGGGGCCCATGAGCTCCTCTCCTTGTATACGCTGCACCGTCATTAGCTGCTTGTGGGTGACGCGGCCAGACGTCTGGAAAAAATGAGAAGGCGGCGTTTGGGTCGAGGCAAATGGAATTCAAAGCAGTGCGACGCTCACCTGTGTGTGTGTGTGCTTGTTGGTGCGGGAGTTTAGTGGTTAGCCCAATGCACTTTGAACCAGGCGACCCGAGTTCAATTCCTGCTTACGACCAAAAACAGTGACGAATGATCGACTTAGTCCTAGGCCTCACGTAGGCACACTAGGGCCTTAAATGGTGCTATGCTTAAACATCAGCACTGGGAAAACAACAAGCGACCAAGCGTGGTGCTAGCCATCCACCTCCTCATGTGCCGTACCGGCCTTCATTAGGTACTCGCGAACAGCACTTACACCCCAACATAGCTGATATACAAATGTGTCTGTGTATTCGGCATTTATTATTGGTCTCCGATAAAACTTTTTTTTATCTCATTTTACATTAACGTTTGTATTTTTTCCATTGGCTTTTATCTCATTTGTCCAATTTCATTTGCCACATTTCGCCTAAATGTTATAGGAGCATGTAACGTGCCTGTAATTCGTATAAGTCCTGGAGGGGAATTTTTACACGCTCAATTCGATTAACCTATCGTGCGCGTGAGAGTTGATTTTTTATCAACGAATGGGTGCAATTAACAAAAACAGCTCAAAGGACTACTGAGGCAGGTATGCGCGCACGTGTTCGTGCCCGTGTGTCGCGTACGTGTGCCGTGAGCAGAGGCAGGCCAGCCGCGCTGTGGATCACCCAGTTGACAGGCATCGGGCAGTACAGCAGCAAGACGACCTCCCGCATCACCTGGCCCCCAAGTGGCCCCACGTCCACCTCCACGTGCACGTCCGTCTGCAGGCCGCTGCGCAGCAGGAGGGCGACAGGAGGAGGAGAACGTCACGACAAACGGGATATGACGTGGGGATCATCACGTGTCGTGGTCTGTGCAGCGCCTTTGCCATTGGTCGAGAGGAAAAAAACTTTCAAATGGCGAAATTAACTCGTGTTGGTGATTAAACGTCTCCTGCTTCTTTGTCGTGAAAATTATCGGCGCCAGCTTTGTCCAATTGAGATGTGTTTCGGTTATACGGGTCAAGATGTGAATCTAGAACAAAGTGTCTCCTCACTACACCAGGCAATAGAGTGGGCACTCATTTCGGTGGACCTGTGGTTATCACAGTGCGATAACCACAGCGCCACCACTCCATCTTTGCTAGGTAAAGTTAGCATAACATAAATAACTGGTTTCGTGTGGTCAACATTATTAGGGTTGGACAATATTAATGCAAATTAGTACTCGGCTTTTGGGATGCAGCGGTGGCGAGATGTTATCTTCCTCGCCTGGTATGCAGGAGGTTGTAGATTCGATCCTGACCCTGATGCCTATATATTTGGAGTTTGCATTTCTACCCGTGGTTGCGTGGATTTTTCTCCGGCTCCAATTTTTCCCTCCATTTTTAGAATCAACGTGCGTTTGCAGTATTTGGCTGCTATAAATGTCCATGTCGTAAGCCACTTCACCGAGCCATCATTTGTGGCCAGGTCATTTCTGAAAAATAGATGATAGCCGAGTGTGCCTTACCTGGTAAAATAAGAAGTTTAGTTTTATTAGGGTTTAAAAAAGGGGATGTGGTGCGTGCGTTGCCACGTGCTCACGTCAAAGGACCGCTGCTTGGTGCTTCCACCTCCACGATGTGGACATCCTGGCCGGGGTGGAGGTCGGGCGCTGTGTGGGGCCTGGGCGACCTCTGACAGCCGCTGACCTCCTGCCTCTTCTCCAGCGAGACGAGGAAGCGCTGCGAGAGGAAGCCGTCCCGCGGGGAGCACGTGCCGAGCTGCGGGGGGTCTGTGAGGCAGAGAGCGCGCACACGCGGGAAGCAACCCACTTGAGCACGTGGGCTGGTGAAATGGAGAGCTACTCAATTTCTGGGAGGCTTAACCTAGACACGTGGTTAGCTGGTAGCCCCTCCCTTTCTTTAACCCCGCCCACTCGGTCGCTAGCCCCATTCACGAAATGAAGCAGCATCCTCCTCCCCCCCGTCTGACGCTGGCCACACCTCCTCTTGCGCATAGACCCCACCCACTCCAGTCAACCCTGCCCACTAACCAGGTAGCTCCACCCACTGCCCAAGTAGCTCCACCCACTACTCAGGTAGCTCAACCCACGAATGAGGTAGCCCCGCCCACTTTCCAGATCGCCTCGTCCACTGATCGGGCAGCCCTGCCCACAGTTTGCCCACCGGCCTCATGAGTTGAATATAAACCAAAGTATTTAGTAGCTTTTACATGGATATATATATTAAAAAACATGATAGGCAAACAAAGAAGGGAAAAAAGAAATATATGTATTTTTTAAATGGGAGTGAGCTGCACAGGAAAACCTCACCCGCACTCAGCCGGATGTAGAAGTGGTTCGCCTGGTCGGCATGGCGATATGACGTGACCGGTCCAATATGTCCGACGCTCCAGTCCAGCAAGGCCTTGCCCGAGCCCACAGGGCTGGGCTCAAACACGCGCACGCACGCCCCCTGCACATGCACGCTCTCCGAGGCCTGCGAAACAAACCACAGTGCGGGCATTTAATGTGTGCGGACGGTCAGACGTACAACACAGCGTCTCAACGACAGGGTGCGCATGCTGGAAAGCCCATTGTTGACCGAGAGGCCAAGTAGGCATATTCGGCTAAATTAAACGAGCAATCGTAACAGCAATTTTTATTAACACGCTCCTGACGATTGGATGTTCGGTTCAGAAAGCGTATTAAACAATACCACGAACCTTTAATAACCTGGCACGTTTGTTCACGTAACAAATGTATTAATTGGCCGTGTTAGATGGAGGAGGGATTACGACACACCTTTTTTTTTTACTTTACTCACGCAATCTGACCCAAAATCAATTACGAATCCATCATGACAGAAATCTTAGAAAGTAAAACAATGCTCTTGCAGTAAATGTGCAAGGTTGGTCCAACGTTCCATATCTACGGTTCACAAATGTAGACATTGCAATGAAAAGAATGGACATCGAAAGCAACTCTTACTCGAGTTTGTCATGTCTGTGTTTAAACAGCATTGCAATGTTGTGCTTTCGTTAGGTGTAAAGTTACTACGGTATCGGAGCGAGTAATAATTACAGTTGCTGTCGAAGAACAGCATTGATTTTCAGCATCAGATTCGACTGTGGTGCACTTAAAAGTCCATGAGCTTTTTTTTAATAAAATAAAACTCAAAGAATTCAATGAAAGGTCTTTAGCAGAGGGAAAAGGCCTCACGTGGACAATGCAGTCGAGCAGACCGGCGAGGCCGTCCGTTTTGATTCGCCAAGCGGTGTCACCTGGTGACGCCAGGACGAGTGTCATTGGCCGGAGCGAGTCTCTGGCCCCACCCTCCCCGCTGATGTCAACCGTCACCTGAACGTTCGTGGAGGACACAACAACAACGATAAGCCATCATCAGCACGACCGATTTTGCCAGCTGCGGCTTACTGGCAAGAAACACCACTGCCTAACAACATTGCCTAATGGTTCGCCTGGTCGGCATTGCGATATGATGTGGCCGAGTCCCACAGCTCTCTCCGTTGCCATTCGTCTAATCAGTGTTAAAGTGGATATACCACAATATTTTTTTTCAGTTTATTTATTTTGGTATAGCCCTATGAGCCATTCGGCTCTTGAATCGGGTGCAACCACAACAAACAAAAAAACACGAACAAGAAAAACATCTTAAAGTGACTATGTGACTGTGCAAACAGAAAATCCAAGAAAAAACAGCAAAATATTCCTGAAGAAAGCACCGTACACCAACGCTGTGTGGAAAAAATCCCAGTGGGATGCAAGTCAAACAACAACCACAAGACAACTTAGATTAAGGCCATCAGTCCAACTCCGTACTACAACAAAACAAACATGTCCAAACCAAAAAAAACGTTTTCCAAATCACCAAAAAATAAAGCCACAATTGCAACGTAACAGTGATCACAGGGAGAGTTGACCTCGACATATAAGCACCGTTTGCCACCAGTGTAAAACACAGGGCTTGAACTGGGCTCACCGGGGATGGAGGCGCAAGTACACGGATCACTGCACCGCCACTCCCCAAACAAAGACAAAGGTCCCCCGTATAGGTAAAAGGACTGTTGAGGCAAGTGCTGTTAGCGAGCACCTATGAAGGCCGGCATGTGACACCGTTTACAAACCGTACCAGGCACTCATTCGAGGCCGAGTCAACCTAGGGGATGCCCAGAACCGGTTCAAATAATCGTCACTGGTGTTGTCCGTGAGTGGGAATCGAACCTGGGTCGCTGGGATCGTAGCAGAGCGCTAACCACTACCACCGCTCCCCACATACACAGCGTAAATACCACGTGAAACGCAGCTTTGCATCATCACCGAGTTGTTTACGTGCGCGTCAACTCAGAAAGTATACCCTTGATTAATAACGTTTACAGAGGTCAATTTAACCGCGCGTTTCCTTCCCAGGGGGGTAGAGGCTTGCAGGGCGCTCTCTGGCACGCCCGTGCACACCCGCGTGCACCTGCACGGCGAGGAGGTCCCAGGTGAGCACAGGAAGCACTGACCTGGCCGTGAACCCGCGCACACATATCCATCAATGCACGCGGCACACGCGCACGGCTGCTCGGGTACCTAGACGCTGCCATGGCGTGTCGGTCAGCGCGAACTCTGGACAGAGGTCACAGGAGGTTCGAACTCTCGGCGCAATGGTGGGATGAATGGGTACATTATTTTTTATTTTTAAATCCTCCCCAGGCCTCAGCAGCATAAACAGGTCGCAGCATAGTTAAGTCGATTGGCAAGGTTGCGTGTGGTAGGGTAAAATGTGCAGACTCCCATCGCTTCCAAGACGTCTAGCCAGCGTGGAAGATAAGGCCAAATGCTCTCGAGTGGAGGTGCGCTTCTGCTGGCAGTGGTGTGATCAACCAATTTCAGGCCTTTTTTGTTCATATCACGTTATCTGAATAGAGTATATGTGTAGTTGACTGGGAATGTCACTGTGTGGTGCCGGGCTTGTGAGGCCACGGGCGGGATGGATACTGTTGTGTGTTTGTACACCCCGGACACTGGGTGTAGTACCAGCCCTAGTGGGGGCTTGGGTGAGCGCTGGTTAAGCGCGGTGGCCACGCACAGCGTGCGGTGCGGGCTCCCGTTGAGAGAGCGAGGGAGCGTCAGCCAGCTGGGGTTACGTTGGGGGCATGATACTCGGGCTGACCTGGGGACATGTGACTGGATGATACTGGAGGGGGGCCACCGGTGGAGGGGGCTAATGGGTGGTCACGTGGTCCGGGAAGAACTCTCGAGAGCCTTCGGGCAAGGGCGAGAGAGATCGAGAAGGTGGGCGGGGCGAGAGGCGGAGCCAGCCCCAGCCCGGCCCGATATAAGGGGGGCCCTGTGAGGGGCTCAGGGTTCTTACTGTTGGAGAGGCAGGAGATCCACGTCAAGCTTGAAGAAGCCTCCAGCCACGTGGTCCGGGACCCAGCTTGTGGTCCGGACCGGGATAGTGGAACCGTGTCTAGTTCTGCCGTAGCGTGGTTAGTTGGGTGGCCACCACCCGAGAGTTTGTTGTGTTAATAGCCCTGGAGTATGTTGTGCTAAGAGTTGAATAAAATGTGTTGCTCCCAAGACAACGTCTGCGATTCAGTTGGACTCACTACACATGTCAATTACCTTCTGGTTCAAGAGATTATATAGGCAAATTAATGTCTCACCTCTGTCCTGTCAGCATCTCGCATTTCACTCCATCTCTATTGGTCTGAATTTCTCTTATTTGGATACACATCTATCGCTTATATCTCTTCTTGCACCTCACAAGGAGCGTATATAATAAATGGGCCCCGTTTAGCCTGAACAGACTGTTGGGGTGAGTGGCCAGCACCACGCCTGGCCACTTTTGTCTTCCCAGTGGCAATGTTTACACACTCGCACAAGGTACTCATTTGAGACCGAGTCAACCTAAAGGGACACCCAGGACTGGTTCAGACAATTGTCACTGGTGTTGGCCATGAGCAGGAATCAAACTCGGGTCGCCGGGTTTGTAGCACAGCACTATAACCACTGCACTACTGTTCACACACGTTTACAAGCATGTACACTCACTGTCAAAACCACATTCACATTCGCACCTACACACATGCATCCACACTCGCATCCACAAGTGCACACCGACACCCACAATGTTGGCCAAGAGCAGAAATCGAACTCTGATCGGCAGGTTTCGTAGCGCAGCACGTGAACCACCACACTACATCTCCTCCACACAGCAAAACTACAACTGCCATTCGCCACCAAATGGCGGTGACATCATCATGGCAATTGTGCCAGGCTAAGTGCACTTTAAGTCCACGTGAAGTGCTGAATGCCCGCTGGCAGGGGGTCATGGGACAGACCCAGGTGCCATGCGTTGACTGATGCACTCGGACACACGCACACACATGCAACGAATGCCCACCTCTCCGTCTGCCGGGGCGCTCTCAAGGCTCATGACGTGCACGCTGCGTGTGCCCGGCGTGTCCCACGCTGCCCGCATCTTCGGCGAGTAGTGGGAGCCCGCGGAGTCCCCGGCTTCGCAGCCCGACGAGATGAGGAACTCCTCCATGGAGGCCGACACCGGATGGCCCTGGAACCCCGGCGGCGAAGTGACGCACTCCGCCACCTCTACAAAGACAAAGACAGCCTGAACAGAGTGTTGGGGCAAGCGCTGTTCGCGAGCACTTATGAAGGCCGGCATGGCGCATGAGGGGGTGAGAGGTCAGCGCCACGCCTGGCTGCCTTAGTCTCCCCAGTGGTAATACTTACATGACTAAGCCTCATTTGAGGCCTAGTCGACCATGTACACAAGAACACAACGGCATATGCAACTTCACACACGTGTGTTGTACGAAGTCACACTCGGGCATCCAAACTATCACAGGATTTTATAAATTCACGCAAGAGATACGAAAACATCCGAACGTGCCGTGGCACTAATCAAATCGAATTTATCCTACGGTAAAGTTAAACTCGTGCACGCTAGGACTTACGTCGGGAGAGAGAAAGGAGGAACACGTGTATGAGAGAACATATGCAGGTTAAGGACATCATTTGAACACCGTTAAGCAAGGCAGGTGGGGCTTGGGCAGGGACGTGTCACGGCTCGAAGGGACGACGGTCAAGAATAAAGACAGAGTGGTAGCCAAGGAATGGAATGCTGTCCAAGAGGACATCTACCGGGAAGACGGAGCGGTGAAATCGACGACTCGTATGCCGGGTGCCAATCGGATCGTCGTGTTACCGAATCGTGAGAGGTGGCGGCGGCTTTGGGAGGTCTTCATCCAGCAGTGGATTGACCACGGCTTACGACGATGAAGATGATGAGGACGTGTGGCACTTTCGAAAGATAATAAAGAAGCGCCTACTCCGTTACGTTTTGACAACAGCCTCCAGGAATTTACCGACTTAACATTTCCTTTTTGCCGACAAATATTCCAAAACGCGTGACATTGATACCAAACGAGGGTAAAAACCGCGGGACCCGGAGAAAAATCCACAAGACCACGGGGAGACAACATGCAAACTCCAAATATACATCAGGCGTCAGGGGTCGGGATCACACCCGTGACATCCTGTATACCAGGCGAGGGAGTTAACATCCTACCACAGACCGCCCCCCGCCCCCCCCCCCGTGCGCACCCGCGTGGATCAAGATGAAGTTGACTCCGTGTTGTCCTGCGCAGGGTCCCTCCCCCACAGTTGCGGAGGCCATTTCTGGGGGAGGTCGCCGCTGTCCCATCTGGCCTCCGATGCCTTTGCAATAACACACAACGCGCCGCCAACCCCCCTCCTCCCCCCCCCCCCCCCCCCCCCCCCCCCCCCCCCCCCCAGTAAGCCCACCACCGCGGCCGCCAAGCCAGCTGGGCCAGGCCCTCCAGAGAGAACGCTCCGATCGAAACAAACACGGTGTGCGCGCTCGCCCGGTCACTCCGCGTCGCCGGCGACCTCCTGTGCAATTAGCCCTGGCATTGTTTTGAGTGACCTTCACGGCATCCTCCTCCTGCCTAATGCCTTTCTTCAAAACGTGTTCTGTGACGATGTCCATCCCCCTCGCCGCTGGCTTCTTCCTACTTTGCCAATCTGCTGTTGTCGTTTGTCTGTGCCGGCAGCCTTCACTGTCGGCCGAGTGGAGCGCCCACGGGCAGCGCGCGGGCTTGCGAGTGCCGGCAACTGGGGGAAGGGTTCTCCCGGTGTGTGTTCAGGTCATACCGTGTGCCATTTGTTCGGCACCGTGTCTGTTGTCAGTGTCCTGAGAAGTATATTCGGTCACGAGGTTTTTTTTACATATATATAGAAGCAGCGAAACACAAATTGCATAAATCGCTTGGGTTTTCTGGTTTGGAAGTAACTGTGCTTCTTTTTGTTGTACGACTGCTGATGTAGATGCAGAGCAACAACTACAATTTCATAACGTGGTGGTCAAGCCAGATAACCGCATCAGTAGCAGCGGAGTGTATCGCTATGGCGTCCCCTTCATATTTGTGGATCGCACGGTCTGTTCTGGATGACTACAGGTCGCACGCAACTCGAGAGGTTTTAATTTCCCATGTGTGCATCAGGTATCCGCGTCTGCCATGGTTTGTGGGGACGGTGTTTCGGGTGGACCATGAGCTTCGTGGAAGATCAAACTCGAGATCTTCTGTGTTGGGTCTTTCGCAAGAAGTAACTTTACTTCCCGGGGTGGAGCGGCAGCAAAGCGATGGGGGCACTGTGCTATGAACCCCTGGGACACGAGTTAAATTCCTGGCCACGGCTATCGACGCGAGCGGGCGAGCTGACATCCACCCGCACTCACCAACGTGGTGAAGAAAGGTCAAACAACCACCATGAGCAGGGGTCGGCTAACCAAACTAACAAGAGTCCGTAACAATAAAATAAAAACCCTCAAATATTTCAAGAACCCGCAATGCATGCGAATACGAGACGGCGAGTTCGAAGCAGTCCTTAAAAGAATCGCTTGCGGTTCCAGGGCCACAGGTTTCCAGCCCCTGCCCGTGACTGACACGGCATGGGAAGGCGGCTTTCACCCGGCAGTAGCTTGACAGAGGGCTGCGGTATTTTGTTATAACTTGCGAGTCGGTCTCGACGACGTATTATTAGCATAGTGGATTAGATTGATTTAACCTTGGAAATACGTGCGCTAGGCATGTTGACTTTGTATTGTGATCTATTAGGCATTGGCCGCTGTGGCTGTCCCCGCGTTAACCCAAGCTGCTGACACCATCACTTCCCCCTTTTGTTTTTGGGGAATTTTTTTGGTAAAATATATTTTTTTAAGCTCATGTAAACGTGACAAATGATCAACCGTCACGTGCCAAATAACAGCATTATGATTACACAGGAGAAGCTGAGTAATGTGGGACTAGCGTTATCTGCTTTTAGTAATCTGAACACTTGTAAACATTACAGATTCAAGCGGGAGAAGACACCGAGTGTCGAAATCGGTCTAGAGTTTTTTTGCCGAAATGATGCACTCCCAGAAAGCTGTGTGGCAGATGGGTTCAGTATGGTTCATGTGGAGAGCCCGATTGCTGGCTTATGTTGATGACAGTCAAGGATTATTCCCCAATCGCAGCCACTGCAACAAGAGCGTGGTTTTATTCCCAGTGCATTTCACTGCCGTGGAAACGCTCAGGTGGCGCATGCTGAAAGTAAACATTCTAATTTAATATAATTTTTGGATGCAATTTTCAAAAAAATGGTGTGTTATTTTTTTTTTACAATCCCGTACTTCCACGAGCAGAAAAGCTCCGTTTTTTATTTAGCGACTAAATATTCCAACTGTGCCACTGGAGTCTCGTCACGGCACGAAGGGGTTCACTTTCAGAACTCTCCACTGTGAGCAGAGAAACTTCATCTTGTGCCCGGGGAAGTTTAGAAAGATAAAAAAGCAAAATCACAGTTTTGCTGAATACAGGCCAAAATGCCCAAAATTCCAAGCAGCCAGCAATAAACAGAACTACCAAAAGTGTAAGAGATAAGAGCTAACTGGTTTCTTTCATGAAGCTCATTTACAAGAACTTTGGAATAGGGATGATGGGAGGGGGTAATTCCAAAGTCAAGCAGTGTGAGGAATAAAAGCAGATGGAGAAGTGTTGTGACCTGCAGTGTGACGAGTGCGTGGGTGTGCGTGATGTTGTGACCTGCAGTGCTGCGACAGAGTGAGTGCGAGTGGTGAGCTGCACGCTAGTGCGGTGGTTGAACACAGCATGAATCAATCGGTGAAGTTCAGGGGAATGGTAACCATGGCTGTAGTGATGATAGTCGAATGATGAGGAGGCAATTGACTGCCAGCGATCGAGTAACTGGAGAAAATCAGTGAGTGCCGGATCATAAAAAAGGTGATATCACGAAACCTCTGAAGGTCACCAAGGGACCTCTTAACTACACTAGGGGCATCACCTCTTTACACGCCTTGCTAAGCGTCGATTGCACGGAAACAAAAAAAAATAATAAAAAAAATTGTCATCGTTCGCATTATGCTGGATCAAGTGACAAACCAAAATGTAACGTGACGATTTTTTGGTACAGCCATAGGCAACAGGGCTAAAGTCATTGACTCGCCAGACGCGATAGCTCGTCGGACCAGATGGGTGGCCGACGCTTACCAAGTGTCTCCGGACATGTTACAATCTCGCTCGAGCAACACGGGCCCCCTGGAAATGGGAGCAATCTGAAGGCATCGCACCGCCCAGTGAAAACCTGCTGATGTTTGCGCACAGTCTTACAATAGCCAAACTGGTCGTGTGCATGCATGCACGTGCGTTTTGATTGGTCTCGCACAGCTCGGCCAAGAACAGCGCCTTATCTGAACCCACCGTTATCTCGACGTTCTGATGGAAGCGGCGTCTTCCCAACGTAAATAAACCAATTTAAAAATAACAGTAAAAAAAAACCACGCGCGGTGGAATTTTACAAGTTTCGTAAGCGCCCTCCAGACTTCCGAGAACTCAAACTAACCACGCTTCTAACAGCCACTATCACTCTGCACAACATACTCACCGGTGGCTCATCCTATGCACTGCCATAGGAATGTGGAATTTCCACCATGCTTCCGAGCCACTTAAGGAAGAATGGCAACCCTCCCTCACCCCCCCGCAATGCTCACCTCTTCGGGACGATTCGGACTTTTTCCAGACAAAGCCCTTTTTTCTTTTCGAGGAAGGGTTTCATGGCCAATACCACGTTCCATGTACTTTTTGGAAAAAAACTCTCAACACATTTGTCAATAACACTGTGGCCTTAAAAATATACAATGCATGATGTTTCGGGCAATGTTATTGTGCAATGCAGCAGCAGCCCCACCAATTAATTGGTTTTCATATATTTTTTTGGGGGGGGGAGGGGGGGGTTGGCCACGCGTGGTAATTTTTCTGCCAAAAAACTTTGGCCATTAATCCCTCCGCCACCCGACAAGATTGTCACATTTACAAAAGAGATTATTTACAGGTGGCCAATGCAGTGATACAAATTATAAAAAAGTTCAAAGTGGCTTTGGAGTTTTATATCTTAAAAAAATATATAATTATGGATCAAATAAATCTCTGTAGAGGCCATAAGAATCAAAACCACACGTTTGGGCAGGCACCAGTGACATCGAGTCACGAGCGTGAGAATTTAGTACT